ATCAGATAGAGGTTTGATCTCCAAGATATATAAAGAACTCACTCGACTCCACCCCAAGACGACAAACAATCCAATCAAAAAATGGGCAAAGGACCTGGGTAGACACTTTTCCAAGGAAGAGATACAGAGGGCCCAGAGGCATTTGAAAGGATGCTCAGCATCACTAGCCATCAGAGAAATGCAGATCAAAACCACCATGAGGTACCACCTCACACCGGTTAGAATGGCCATCATAAACAGATCAACAAACAACAGGTGCTGGCGAGACTGTGGAGAAAAGGGAACCCTAGTCCACTGTTGGTGGGAATGCAGACTGGTGCAGCCATTGTGGAAAGTAGTGTGGAATTTCCTCAAAAAGCTGAAAAATGGAACTGCTTTTTGATCCAGTGATTCCCCTGCTGGGACTATACTCTAAGAATACCAAAACGCCAATACAAAAGAACCTATGCACCCCAATGTTCACAGCAGCACAATTTACAATAGCCAAGTGTTGGAAGCAACCTAAATGCCCATCAGTAGATGATTGGATCAAAAAATTATGGTACATATACACAATGGAATACTACGCAGCAGAAAGAAAAAAAGAACTACTAAACTTCGCGACAGCATGGATGGAACTGGAGAGCATTATGCTAAGCGAAATAAGCCAGGGAGCGAAAGACAAATCCCATACGATCTCACTTATAAGTGGAACCTAACCAACAATACAAAGATGCAAGGAAAATAAGACCAGCGACACTGAAAGGAAAAGAAATCAATAGAGACAAGAGGGAAGGAGGGAGGGGGGGCGGGGAAAAGGAAGGAGAGGGGAAAGTCAAGGAACATATAGCAAGGACTCATGGACAAAACCAAACGGGAAGAGCTGAGGGAGGGAAGGAGGGAAGGGACAAGGGAAAGTGGTGGGGGGTAGGCAGAGGCAAATGTATTTGAAAAAATAAATTAAAAGAAAATTAAAAGAAAAAAAGATATGCCATGAGTGTAAGATTTAATGATTACACAAGGTACGCCATACTCCCAGGCATATATTACTGGGAAACTGGAATTGAGCTTTTGAACAAAATCAAGAGCCATAAAGTACTGTCCACCAGAAAATAGAAAATATCAAACTCTACCAGCCTGCTAATTTTCAGGGAAGCTGACTCGCTGTCTAGGGCTATGAATAGAAAAACAGTGACCTTTGAAAAAGGAGATACCTACATCCTGATTCCTGCCAAGGGGTTAATCAAATTCATGTGATCCATTTAGTTCAGACCTTGACCTAAGGATTTAACAAAACTGGTGAACCCCAGAGGTACCTGGCAGAGAAACAGTGAAAATAATATCATAGCGATGTCTTCACAACTCAGAACACATGAAATTGTCATGGACAAGAACCCTTGGTGTTAATGAATTCACAGTTAAAATTACACATAACATCAGGAGGCATATCACCACGAGACAGCCGACAGACTAAATGGCAGAATTCACATATTTATAAAGCATAAATAATGAAGCCAGTTTTATTTTTATACAGTATGTAAAAAATCTGCTAACCAAGGAAAAAATGCAATCCATAGGCAAAATGTAGAATTATTAAAAAATTCAGATTAAAAAAACAAAATAAACTTCATATAAAAAAGGAATCACTGAAATTACAAACTCAGTGTGAATGAGGAATTCACCAGAATAAAGCACAAAGAAAGAAATAAATGGGGATTTTAAGAAAAAACTACAAGACCTGGAGCATAGATAGAATATCACTGTATACAACTAATATGAGTTCCAGGAGGATTACAGTAAGGCTAGGAGAAGCAATATGTAAGGCAATGAAGGCAGATAATTGTTAAGAATGGGACAAAAGTATGAATCCTCAGATTGAAAAAAATCACACCTAATCACTTACATAAATAAGAACAAATATATATCTAGAAACAATATAGTAAAAATCTAGCAAAAAAAAAAAAGAAGAAAAAAAAGAAAAGAAAAGCACCTGGTGAAGGCAGGTAAGAGAGATAACCTAACAAGACATGTAAAAAGGTTGACAGAAGACATTTCATTAGCAATAATAGAAACTTAACTGCAAAATAATAATATCATCATAATATTAAGAAAAAATAAGAGCTAATCTAGGACTTTATACCCAGTTAAACTATTATTCAAGAACAAATGTGACATAAAGCACATAAAGATATTTTAATACAAACAAAAAGTAGATGTTGCTATTTACAGATCCTCAATAAAAGAATAAATGATGTACATTAGTAAGAAGGAAAATAAATAATTTTTAAAGAGCATCAGTGAGCAAAAACTTGGTAAAAATATGGGTAAATCTAAGTAAATATTGACTATAATTACCATCTGGAATTAAAATGCTAAGAAATAATTACACAAGATATATAATGATTACCTTTAGAATTTATTAATTTAAAAATACCTGTTAAAAATTTTAATGGCAATCATTAAAAGGAAAATATGAGGAACATCAAACATAAGAGGTAAGGTGGATTCATATACATCAATAAAAAATCAAAATACAAATAAAGCACATTAATATAGAGAAAGATATCAAATTGAATAAATAAAAATAGATGCTGTTTATAAGGAAGCATATCCAAACAATAATGGCCCCAAGAGCATTAAAATGTATCTACAGTAAATGTAACACTAGATTAACTTTTGTGAAATATGGGTTTTGTGCACATGTGTGTTTATTATTTCATGTGCTGTATTTTTCTGTATGTTTTAAAGTATTTCATAGCAAGAATATTTTTTTAAAAGAAAAAGAAAGAAAAGTGAGGATGTTAACATAAAGGACAAATGAGGGAAAAAGACTAATATAACATAATCCATTCTAATATAATACTGGTACAGGAAGTACAGTTTTCAACCTCTGAAAAAACTGAAGACTAAAGATGTCAGCCCAACATCAGGAGGAGGCTGGAGACCTACAATCAGCCACATGAGCAGTTCGTGATTGAGCCTCAATAAAGATTCTGGACACCAAAAGCTTGAGTGCGCTTCCCTGGTTGACAATACTTGGTGGGTATGGCCACACATGGTGGCTGGGAGAAGGCTGCCCCCTCCTTGCTCCTCTGGGAGAGAACAGCCAGAAGCTCTGTGTTTGGGCCCCTCCCAGGCTATGCCCTATGTGTCTCTTCCTTTGGCCAATTTTAATGTATCCCTTCCTTGTAATCAATAATTTGTTGAGTTCTTGCACACACACACAAAAATGAAGGTCTCAACTTCCTTCATTAGAGGAGCCCACAGGCCTCCCTCCGAGCTTTCTAACTGCCATCACATAGAGGGAAATACAAGCAGCATAGATTTCACAATGTTTACGCTTGAAATCTAACTTGTTGCTCAAGAAAAACACAACAATAACTTGCGATGATGTCTGAGGGAATGAATTGCCATAAATAAATAACATATTTATGGGTCTTCATAAATTAACAACACAACAGACGAGAGACAAGAAACTAAAGGAGAGACAGAGTGGACATCTCCTTGATGTTCTTTTAGAAATATAATGCCATGAAATGTTTTTCTTATTCCCTGGAAGTCCATCTTTCTTGACATCACTTTCCTCTCTCCCAACTCTTCCCAGTGGGTGATAAACTATCTGAATTATGAACTAGAAAATATAAAAATATTCACCCAATAGGAAGTTATAGAAAAATGAAGGAATTTATTTATGTAAGAAGAATACCAAGGGTCCATTTCCCTTGTATCGTCTATATAACTGTCTAATGCCTAGTCATGTGCATGCCAGGATGATTGTTTCTCTGCTGCACCATGTGGCACATAGCACTTAGAAAGAATTTAATTCATTAATTTTCTTTAAAATGGAAAACTGATAACTTGACATTGGCAAATTTCACTGAATTTTCAGAAGACCTCAATTGGCCCACACATTTTAATGCTAATTTATGGGTAAGGGGAAATCTAGTGAGAATCCCTTCCTAAAAGGGGTCAGAGAGCTTTGGAATATACATATATGAATAATACTTTGTTATAGTTGTATAAAGCCTTTGAATTGGCTTAGTGCCCAGAAGAATATCCTTTGCAATAATGAGGGGGGGCAGTGGGGAGGATAGACCATTTATTTCTAGTTTGCTCTGCATCTCAAGAGACAAAAATGTAACCCAGGCTTAGGAATTCAAGTTTCCCACAAATGCTGGCTGTGCTCCTGAAGTTAAATGCAAACACTCTAAACTATGCTACATTAAAAATGGTTGCTGTGGCCTTTACAAAATAATGATAAGAAGAAAGAAAATTTACCTTAAAATTTATTTCTTTATCCCCAATTGTAAAAATACAGGAGTTTTTTTTTTTCTTTTAGGATGTAGAATGAGAAAAATCTGTTTAAAGAAAGTCAGTTGACTTATGTTGCACTCATTAAGAAAGCAAGAGAGAAAGGAATCATCAATTGACTAGATTTTCACCAATAGATGGAACTACAAGGAGTCCACCCCAAAGTGTGGATGTGCGAAATCCAGTTTACCCAGTTTCTCCTGTCTGTACCAGGACTGTCCTGGGAGAGACAAGTCGGACAGTGACCTGTAACAATCAGAGACGGTGGCAGAGAGTGGACTTCATGAAGAAGAATGTGAAATCAGAATGAATGGGTGAGCAAGGTGTGCCCACAGCAGGTTTTGTCCTTTCAATAGACAATAATGTTATGTGTATATTAGAAAAAGCATCTGGCAATTTTCCCTTTTCAGTAAAGTTTACCGGCTACATTTCTTAAACAGGACATCAAAGTAATATGGAAATCAAAGGCAGAAGGTTACGTTTATTTTTTAAAAACCCTGTAAGGTGAATCAACATATCCACTTTGAAAATCCAATATTTCTATAATTAAACATGACACACAGGGGCCATTTAACTTCATAGACCCATGAAGTTCCACCCCTTCCGCCATCACCGTGGCATGTTGCATAACCCTTCTTTTAGAAATGACCATTTTCTCACACCCTCAACTGTCTCAGGTGAGAATCCCAAAGGAGAACACATGCACTTACTTTGGTAACACGAGGATCTGCACGATAAAGATACAGAAGAATATGAGACAAGCACAGGTCACATAATACTTGAAGGCTGGCAGGGCAGTGGCTCGGTACTAAGGGGAGAAGGAGGAAACCATGAATGGCGGTTTAGTAAGAGAAGGGCCGAAGCAGTCACCCAGCAGCCTCATTCTACCCAGTTCATGCATCACACTTGTTAACTGTAGACTGTGGCACAAATAAGCTGAGAACGATGGCTGTTCATCTTGGGCAATGAGTGCTTCCTCTCTCCAAAGGGGTTGACACTTCCAACGACCACAACTCTTATAAGTTGAACAGTTCAGAAACTCATTTAAAGGTAATTGGATCACTTCAGCAAAGAAACAGAGCACCTGACCAGAAAGACAAGGGGGTAAATCATGGGACCAGTGAACCTTGTGGGTGCCCTGGGTTCCCTTCTGGGTCTGCTGTCCACAGTTATTTGGGTAAAGCAAATAATTTTTCATATAATAATTTACTTTTGAATATTACTGAGACAATGCAATTTCCCCATTCCATTTACTTGTTTTAGTCCTTTATTTTATTATTCATCTTAATGCTGCTTAGAGGCAGTGAATACATTTACAACATAGAGAAGACCATGGGCTTTGTCTAGGTCCGCATTCACTCTGTTTGCATGTCTGAACCTGGCCAATGGGCATCTTTCCACTTGTCCAGTGCAATCAACAGTGGCCATGCAGCTTTCCACCCCATCCAGGACTGTAAACTGACCAGTGTAGCTACCCAGGACTGCCCCTGCCTGAGTGATGTAAGGAGAAAGACAGCCACTGTTGCAGCTGAGACTACACTGCTTCTCAAAAGAAAACTTTATAATAAAATTAAAGGAAATAAAGCTTTTGTGGCAATGTTATTGTGACCTCCTGACAATATTGGCAGGTTGCATTAGGTACAGCCACACAGACTGTTCCCCAAGTTATGGGAAGTTATAGTACATATTGCTTGGGTTTTAGCCACTGGGGTTTTAATGCGGGACGTTGGATTTCTGGGTGGTGAGCTGATGTTTCTCTCCCTTGGTGCCTTGCTGTCTTGTATTTCTCCTGCAGGGCTGAAGAGCAGGTGACAGGTGAACAAAAAGCAAGCTTAAATCTCAATGCTTTCTAAAGCTCTCCTCAAAACTGGTCTCTAACATGGTCCATGTACATGTGGACAATGTTAGCAAAAGCTGTGTTTTTAAATGACAATCACCGTCTATTTAGTAGAATTTTTTTTTTTTGGTGAATTTTGTGACTTAATAGCTAGGATATACATGTTGATAGAGAAGCTATATTTGCAAAATTGCAGAAATCTGATTGCATTCTATGCATTCAATTATATCCTTATCTTCTACCTTCTTCTGGGCTTTGTGCAGAGCTATGAGTTGTATTAAGAAAAGAAATGGACTTCTATTAGGAAGGGCATACTTTACATTTACACAATAAGTATGTGTAAAGTTATTCAAGGATAAAATGGTCAAAATAATAGTAATAAGTTATATGAAATATCAGTTTGGTAAACCATTTGTAGTCAATATGTTGACTTAAAAGCAGACAATTGGTCTTCCTGACCACTAATGAAAAAGAAAATTTTGGTATAACTGCATAATTCAACCCTAGTAAATTTTGGAAAAATTTTGATATTTGGTTTTTCCATTCAATATCCATAAAAAATAAATTGAATTTTCTTAACAGACTTTTAATATAGTAGCTTTTGTTCAAACTGAGACTCTAATTACATGGTTGGATAATAAAAATTACCTCTAACTTGTTCCTTTTCTAGATCAACACAAAAGGCAAATAAAATAAAGCTAACCTAGAACAGTTGTCCTTTCTGTAATAGTTACTTAATTCATTTTAGCAAGTTCATGTTCAACTTGAAATATAAAAATTCAATGCCTGCTTATTATATGTGCCTGAAATAGCTCTTTCTTTATGAGTCATGTGATTATTTAGATGCAACAGAACTTAAAGGTTTGGGGTTTCTAATTCTCCCCAACAGGTAAGTCTCATATTTTTGTCAAAAAGTTGAAATAATTTGTGCAAAATCACTGTAAGTTTATCTGGAAGAATTTGTTGAGATCATGTTTCTTTCTTTAAGCTCCCAATCTCAGAATGTTCCAGAAATTATTTACTACCAGGAGTCTCAAGAATGATGACTAGCCAGGGACAGAAGTGTGGTTACAAGAACTATGGCAAAACAATATATGTACGACAGAATAATAGAAAAAGGTCACAAGAGTTTGGATATAGTTAGAGGCATTTTTAATGTCATAAGCAAAAAACAATATAATTTCATAAAGGAATTTGAAAAACTAAAATTTTAGAAAAAGTGATTGATTTTAAACAAAAACATAGCATACCTCTTTTTCTAGAATTTTATTGTAGAAAAGCAATGAGATTCTCTGAATGTCTTCAGACTTGAGCCATTGCCTAGAAATAAAAAGGGCAGACATCATAAAACCAAACCTCCTACCAAACATCTGGAACTACTTTTTAAAAATGACTTGCATTCTTCTTTCTTTATTGTAAATCAGCCAAGATTGAATATTTTTAAAAAATGTATAATGCCAAATCACTGGATACACAATCTGCAAATATAATATTTCTATTTGCACACTGCCCTCCTTGGAAAATATGATATTACAAACCAACTGTCATATCAAATTGAAACTCAACTTATTTCAATTAAATAACTAGGGAGTCAAGTACATCAATAAATGTATTCCCTGATGTCTTACTGAAATCACAGGGCAGTAATATGTCCTGAAGGATCTGGTTCATAGAGAAGCACCATTTTCTGATCTTATAGCAAGCAACACATCACAGAACATCAAACCCATTCAGTGTCCCTTCAAGTCCTAGGTGAGATTTTGCTTCTTTCACACTTACTAAAATATTACATTGTCATATTTTAAGGAACAAGAGATTCAGATCAGTAACATAGTATGTTAACATACATACACAAATAAGTACATACATATCTCTCAAATATTAAAAATAAATAAAAATATGTGATTGACATGAAAATTTGTTTTAAGATCTGTTTTAAGAAAGGCATTGAAATAGAGAAAGGGCTTAAGGGCAAAACTTTTCACTGGAATGCTGTGTGTAATCAACTAAACAGCAGCACCGGATCTATGCACCAAATCAGGTGCATAGTGTCAGATACATTCATGCATTTGGCAATAAAATTAAGAGCATTTTGTGAAATAAATCTAAGAAAATAGTTAACATCTGTGCATTAAGAAAAATATCTAGAAATAAATACCAACATCGACCAACTGGTTTGAATGAATTATTAACTGATGGATTTATATTTCTACTTCCCTAACTTTTCTTAAATATTTTTATAATTAAAAATATAATAACTTGGATTATAATGAATATGCAGGCATAGATGTATATTTCTACAAGTGTGTATAACCTTATGCCTACATCTATGTATAGGTAGAGAGAACATAGGTGAATTGACATTAGAGATAAAATGATATTTTACATAAAATTCCCCAAAAATGTTGTATCTGTTCAAACAAAAATCAATTCACATGAATTCATTATGTAGTACTTTCCAATCCATTGATCATCTCTCTATGGATTTGGACTCCTTGAGATATACTCGGGAAATAAAGGATGAAGACCTTGGAGAACTCAGGAGAAAAGGCCAGGTAAACTGCTACAGTTTACCCAGTAATCCGCCACTTGATGATTTCAGACTAGCAACCCTAAATGTATATGATATTTCACTTTAGGACTAATGACAAACTCACCCAGAAGACCAGCATGTCTGAGGAGGGACATCTCCAGGTCTACCTGGACGGCCCAGTGCCCAGAACATCTGGAGCGTTGGAAAGGCTCTCACGGCACCCTGCCCATGAGGAGCTTGAATGCCCCGCAAGACTCAACTACACACAGTGCACATTCAGCCAGGGCACAGAAGTCAGAGTAATGTGTTCTAGAGTAACTACCATTAAAAGTGAGAGCTATAGCAATGCTTTTTGTTTCAAGGGTATGATCTTTAGGTTCAGTGAAATAAACACTTTTGGTATTTCTTATGGTTGCATTAGCTGCAGAAATGCGTAATTGCTCTGTTTTATGAGACTAGTTAGAGGAATCAACCGTTGGTTAATACGCAAAAAAGGACATAAAATAACATTTAAGATAAATTTTTACTCATTTTCAGAACTGTGTATCAAACTATGAATCATGTATACAGGTAACTTATTAAAAGGACTTTTTTCCTTTATTGAGAAAGAAATATCTCCTGGATAATATAAGCTTGAAAATAAAATAAGAGTGAAACTTATAGAGTGGAAATAAAACTAGCTCCTCACTACGTTGCAGTGACTCATATCTCCAGTTTAGGTTTCAGTTATCTATCTGTCTGTGCTCTTGCAGGTAAACAGGAAACGATCAAGACCAGGCTTCTTTTTCCTTGTGTCCCTAGCACCTAACATTGAGTTTTTAAAGCCATAAACACAGGATTGATGCTTGGGGAAATGACTTAATTCAAACCACATGTTGCCTTTAAAGCACACAAGCTTCTTTAGGCAGGTGTTAATTTAATGTACCAGTATACCTGAAAAGCAACTATAGTCTAAGATACTTTACTGTGTATATATGCAATTACACATACATACACACCCCACATAGACACGTATATACACTCATGTAATTCTTTCATATAAGCCCTATACATATTCTAAAATAAATACTTAAAATGAACAGTCTAGAAGGTGCATACATTTTGCAAAGGTGTGCAACTTAATTTTGGAGGCTGAGTTCTAGGTAAAAATTATTTACATTTTTCAGGAGTCAATTTTCATGATAAAAAATAAATGGTTAGGTTTCCATAAGGGTGGACACCTTTCCATGGAGACTTTCCATTTGGACCTACTGATGTTTACACTATAATTTAATTCAACAAACATTTATTGAATGAACAAGCACCTAGTGTGGTTTCAAAGGCTGATGAATGTAATCGTTCTGTCCAAGCCATGAATGCCACTACTTTCTTTAGTTTCTTCTCTGCATTTCAGGGACCATTTAAAACTATAACAGCAATTCATAGACTGAATAGATACATAAAATGCATAGACTTCATAGACTTAATACTTTCTGCCTCTCACCAGAAGCTGGTCTTATTCTCATTGCCCCCATGAATTCAGATTCTAATGCACAAGACTCTTCCTGCAACTTAGAACATAGACATCTCCACGTTCTCTGGTTTTGCATGAGGAATAAAAGCATTCTGAATGGATAGTGTTACATGATACAACTTAAAGGTTTTCCCATATGGAACTCTTATTGATCTTTCATATTACCTCTTGAAAATTTTTGTGATGATTTTTCTCTCCATGTTTACATCTTATGGTGTTTACTAGTAATTTACTTGGAGAGTATTTATTAGGCAGGAAATAACAATCTTTTCAAATAATAGAGTTTGAAATAAGAAATGATAATTTAAGATTAAAAAGAACTCACTTTTGGGCATTAATTCCATCAATTGCTTGAATCATCCTTTCATTCAATTCTTCTTCAAATCTTTTCTTTTGTGACTTGGTTCTACATAAAAAAGGAAATGTAGTGAATAAGAATCTTATTATTAAAATAAGTATTAAGATCATTTTTACTATGATGCCAAAATCTCCGTTTAATTCTGTTGATCAACTAGAAAAAAAGAAAAGAAAGAAACGAGCCTATGAACAGCCTTTCCTTTATAAACAACAGCCACTCTGTGGATCAAGAGAACTGACTGGAGTTTTTGGTGCAGTAAAATGTGACCTTACCAGTCACTTAGAGTGAAATTTTTTTAGGTAATCGAAAGCAACACTGAAGGATAGGTACTTGCTGTTTTAGATAAAAGAACTTTTTGTCCTAAGAGATACCTTAGCCCTTGACTGCCTGCCTTTATAAACTTTATTTTATGACAGAACACAGTGGCTTTGGAAATTCCTCTGCAAAAATTTGGTTTGGTTGACAAAAATAGTTACCCCTTGTTCATGTTTTCATTGGTCTGTTTTCAAGAATTTGAAGAACTACAGTCTTTTTGTAGGCATATCAAAGCTTAATTGTACGTATTTAAATGTTCTTCAGTGTTCGAAAGCCCTATTCACAGAAAACCCGTCTTATATTTGCAGACCACTCCACTCGGTCTTAGAAGCAAATAATCTTCAGCTATAATATGTTTTGTAAGTAAATTATAACAAAAACATAATGAGTTCCTCAAGGTTAACTTGACAATTGGCCTGAGAATGTAAAGGAGAAAACCGAAATAGTAACTGTTTTTAAAAGTTAAACACCTGCAAAGAGTGGAAGCACAGGCTGGTGCTCACCAAACTGGCCTCAGCCAGCTTGCGCCCGAGTCTAGTTGCCGGCAGGTCACCTAGTCCAGTGTGTGGTGAGCACGTGCCTTCTCTGTGTTACGGATATTTAAATTGCCAGTGGAACAGACCTTGTATTCTGGAATAAAAATCTCATTTTTCTGAGTCCAGAACTGCCTTTAGATATAGACAAGAAGATCATTACATATGCAATGCCACAGTTATCTGTCATTAACCTCATGGAGTCATCATTAATGAGATGGTGCGCATTGCAATTTCATCAGCTTCTGTGGATTTGTGACTTCAAATCCTGTCTTCTTTAAACAGGCCAAGGGCAGTCTTGATTCAGAAACAGAATATTAACTGATTCAGATACAGACACACAGACTACTGAATTAAGAGGTGTTAACATGCCAAATTCCAAGCTGTTTGAAGAAGGCAAATTATTTTTTTTATCCTTTTTTCAAAAAAAAAAGAAAAAACCCAACAAAGCCAGGAACTTCAGCAGTCCTCTAGTCTGGCTCACCCACATTCACAGGTGAGAAGCTTCATTCCTTTTAGACCTTATTTTGTTTTTAATCAGCCCTTGATTGAACATGAGTTTCTTGACTTCAATTTGGTGGCTTTCTTTATCTTAAAGTCTCTCCATGTCTGAGAAGGAACAGTTGTATGTACCTTGAACTCAGAGAAAAAAAAATCCTTCAGTGCTATGCCTGGGGCTAACAATGGCACTGCCTTCGTGATTTTGTTTTGGGATTAGTTTGGACAATGCTTGTACAGTGGTCCATGTAGTAAATATGGCACATGAAGTAGCCAATAAATGCATATGATTTTGCACCTCTGTATTCACTAATTATCTGGACAACAATTATTAACCTACAGACAGTTTTCTTCTCTCAGTAATTTTGTGACTTCTGCTATGGAAATGATAGATATCCTTAGGTTTGATAATCTACCTATCAGAAGGTCTTAACTTGCCAACCAGGGCTTTGTTCCTGACCTTCTGACCTTTGTTCCAGGACTTTCAGAGTTTCTGACCTTCCAGCTCTTGTTTCTGCCCCTGGGCTCCACCACTGGCCTCCCCATTACTCACTGCCCCAACCCCTCTTTCTTTCTAACTTCTCTCTGTTGTTTCTCCTGAGCTCCTTCCCTAACCTGTCCCATCCTCACACCTGGGCTTTTATATCTCAGGAGACAGGGAAGAGGCTGTGTGTTAGCTCAGGTGATACTTCAGCAGCATGTGGCACCAACTCATGGCCAGGCTGGAGGCTCAGAGAGGTCTTATGACGTAGGCTGTGTGACAAAGCCAGGATGCATAAGGGAAGCCCAGGTGAGGCTGACCTGTAAGTCAAGCTCTCTCCATGAGGCCTCGGGGCTACCAGAGATCACCCACCAAAGAGGAAAGTGGAATAGATATGGAGGTTGCTCCGAGGGAGACAGGCCGGCCAGGAAAACAGTCAGGAAAGCAGGCTTTGGCACCGCAGAGTCGGGGCACAAATCTGGGCCTCACCTCTGCCAGCTGGGTTACTGTGGGCATTCTCCTAACCCCTTGCACCTTAGTATTTTTTCTTTCTAAAAGGATAATGGCCATTGTGTCTACCTTGGAAGAATATGAAACATGAAGCTGAACTTTCCATACGTCTAGTGCAGATACAAATGATAGCTTATGATCACCGTCTTCCAAATAGCACTCATCCCAGGAGACACTGCCCACATAATATTGGTGCTCCACTAGGCACTTCCAGCTGTCATTTCAGAAAACAGACTCCTGAAGCATAATTTCAGGGAGGGGCAGATAGGCAACAGAAGAGATATCAAGAATAAAGTGAAAGGATGTTCACAAAATTTCTGTGCACAGTTGCTTGCAGATGTGCTCATATCTAATTGGCTGCAAGAGTCACTCCTTCTCAAATTATGTTACAGGATCCATAATATTCTTAAAATGAGCTGGAGTTCTGTTTAATATGGCATTTGTTCTTTCAAACATAATGTCTCAAAAGCCTAAGAACCTAATTATCCCTATAACAGATGGCCGGGAGTATTACTTAAAATTTCAAATTGTACACAAAACATAAATTAGAGCTCATTACAACAAAGTCACCTAGAGGGATTGATGTGCATTCTTTGCCATATTTTGCAGGTAACGATCTACCTACTTGTGTTTACTTTTTACTTGGATACCATGTATTTTCTACAAGAATAAACTCACCTCTCCATGGAGAAAAAAAAGGTTGACTTGAGTTTTGGGCCTTCCATTAATTATCCTAATTACTTCAGTAAGAAATACTTAATTCCCAAACCAACATTAAAGTACAACTATGACCCCCGAAACTAGAGGAACATGGAAAGAAAAGGCATTGATGCTCATGACTCTTTCGTGGATAGAGCCAGGGGGCGTGGAGGCATTTGTGGAGAGTATTTCTTTTTTGAGAGGTAGGGTAGCCCTTTTTTCTTATAGAAAGTCTAGACTTACCTTGCTTTTATCTCTAATATTAATATTAAAAAAATGTAACTTTAAAAAACCTCATTGTAAGGAAATTCAGTTTTTTACTACATATTAGTATTAAAGAGTCATTTTAAGAAAATGATGTCAACTTCTACAGTGATTACCATGAGGTGTTTTCTTTTTCTTTGTCTTAATTCTAATAACACGGCACTAATAATCCTATTTTTAGAAGCTTGAGAGAAATTTAATAGAGCTTTTCACAAGTAGCTGCTCTTTTAGAAGGAGTAGCCTTCAAAATTACTATAATGCATGATAATTACTTTCCTAAATAAATAAATAAGCTTTTAAAAATTAGAAAGTGGAACATATGCCATACCTTAAAGTGCGATTTTGAAAATTATGCTGACCCATTGGTACATCCTATTAAAAAAAGAAAAGGTTATTAGTTGCCAAAATCATACTTTAAAAATAATGTTGCAATGATAGTTATGTAAAACATATTTCTTCATTTATCATGTAAAATATCAGGTAACATATAATTACCCATGTGGGGAAAAAGAGCTTAATTATAAATGTTAAACAAGGTTTAAATCTCAGTTTATGTTTAGAATACTGGTGTTGTCTATAAACTCTGGATCTTGGAAGTACCAGAATGGTTGTCTAGATTTTTAAAATTTACATCCCCCTGATATTTAAAGATATGATTTCAAACAATGGCCTACAGAAAATTGTTATTAGTTACTGTAGACAGCTTACAGTCATGTGAAATTGTAGTTTGACATGAGACAAATACTTAGAAAGTGCTTTAAAACACCAACATAACCACAAAATCTATAGTTAATCCTTATCATTAAACTGGGTTGTTAAGAAATGGTACCAATGGTTAAGAATGTGTATCCAGGGAACCACTTTGTGAAATATACGATTACCTTGCCACTATGCTGTGTACCTCAAGCTAATACAGAATAATATTGAATGTAAACTGTAATTGCAAAGTAAAGATTTCTCTTCTGGTATGACCTAAAGTATTAAAAAAGAGAGAGAGATAGAATGTGAAATTGTGAATAACTGCAAAACACATTATACCATGCCCATGGAATGATCAAAAAGAAGAAATCAACCTGTGAGTGTTGGAAGTTCCAGAAAACAGAATAAGAGGAAGACACTGGTAAGATTTCATCAGTGGGGCACCCACTGATAAATGTTCGATAGTAGACTTTAAAAAGCCCCACAAGATTCACTTTTATACGTTTATAGTGGAAATTAAAATAAAAGTTGAAACAAAACTGTTCTAAAGAAACTTTACTTTGCTGCTTTATCACCAAGGGTAGGTCAAGAAATGCATTAAGGAACTACATTTACCTAGGGAAAATGAAAGCACTAAAAAACCCTGAACTTTACGTTTTAATACATAAAATAAAATAATACATTATCCACTAGCTTTATCAGTGTTGAATCAAAAGTCAACAGAGCTTGCAAGACTGGTGTAGTTAAGTGGGCTGGGTTTTGTCTTACAAACTGAAAGGTCATTGATTTGATTCCCAGCCAGGGCACATGCCTGCGTTGTGGGCCAGGTCCCTGGTTGGGGATGTGCAAGAATCAACTAATCAATGTTTCTCTCTCACATCTTTAAAAAAAAAAAAAGACTCGGTAGAGCTCTGCATAGGGAACTGGACAAAAGAAATAACTTCCGACAATGACAACTGTTCAAACCTGGAGTGTATTAATAAAATGATGATGGGATCTTTCTGAAAGTAAGTGAGGGACACACCTAATTAATAGTCACATGGGTGTTAAACAAAGACTTGGAATTTTCTTAAGATATCCTATCTTGCTCCTAAGGCAGTCCCTAGGTTCTATATCTGGGCGAGAGGTCCTCTGATTTCATAAACAGCTTCCTGAAGCTCAACCACTAGACCTTGCTACTCTCCCTTGAAGGAGGCATCTTCACCAACATAACAGACTAAAGTCAGGCTAAAATCTTTCCTGTGGTTGCATGCTGAGATAATAAGGGAGAAAGGCACTGCTAAATCCTCGGACAATAGGGATTGATGAGAAATAAACAACTGCAACACCACCAATAACTCACCTGGAAAATGACTTTTGCACAGGTATACATAAGAAACAGCACAGAAAATAATGTTCTAATACTTATATATAATTCTTATTTCCTGAAAACCAAACAACCAACTGCTGGTGAACAACACATCTCAATGAGAAATATGATTATTAGCCATTAGCATTAATAATAAATACAACATTGAGAAAAATTATCCAAATTATTATTATATTTTCATAAGAGTGATAAAAGCATTGACTTTCATTGACAACTCAATACTAGCATCCTAGGATGCTTTTCCTCAATAGTTCTAAATGCCCAGGCCCTCCTCCTTTGATCTCTTCTCTTCTTGATGACCTCATCCAGCTTCACGGCATCAAATACCATCAAAAACCTGACCCCTTTCACATTCACATCTTCAGCTTGGGCCTCTTCCCTGAGTTCTAGACTTGTACATTCAACACAAGCAACTTCCTAGCTGCACTTAGCTGTCTAAAAGGCATATTGATTCAAAAATGTCCGTTGGCAAAGTCTTGATTTTTCCATCTTAAATCACCTGATTTCCCCCTAGTATTTTTCATTGCAGTTAATGGCATCATCATTCTTCCAGCTGTGCAGCTAAAAGAAGTGTGAATTAATCCTTGATCTTCATTTTCACACATATCCGCTCCATCACGGAGTCCTTATTTGCTGTACATTCAAATTAGACCGTGAGTTTGCTTCTTACTGTTTCCACTACTGAAATCTTAGCACAGGGAATATAGTCAATAATAGTCAAATAATATGTATGGCATCAGGTGGGTGTGCGATTTATCAGAATGATCGTATATTAAGTTATGTAATGTCTAATTATTGGGATATACACCTGAAACTAATATAATAATGTATGTCAACTGTAATTAAAAATAAAAATGATTTAAAAATTAATAAATAAAAAAGAACAGTAAAAATAAAATAAAATCTTAGCATGCACGGACATGATTCTCACTTGGACCCTTACTCTCTTGCTCCGTAATTGCAAAACACATTATACCATGCCCTTTCCTTGCTTAAAATCCTTTCGTGACTTCCCATTACACTTAGAGGGAATTAAACACAATTTCTTAGTGCATCTCAGTCTGATAACTTTCTTTGCTCACTGATGACACTAGAGCCACACCAGCATCCTCTCTGATCCCTGAAGACCACATTCATTTCCCTCCTAGAACCACTGAATTTGTTATTCTGCCACCTCCTTTACCAATTTCCTCCTTTCCTTCTTTGAAACTTCCCCAGCTGTTCTATCCAGAGTAATCACACCACTCATTCCCACAAACATCACTCCATTCCATTTTCCTCATGACCTTGAGTAGCACCTAAAATGATCATGTTCCTTTGTTTTCTACTTATGTTCTCTCTCTTCCCAATAGAATGCAAACTCCTCTAGGATTTGTCCTGGTAGTCTCTCTTGTTGATGGTCTGATGGATCATGGTCCTGTGTCAAGCCACATTTATTTTTTAGTTAAAAAAAGAACAAGGAAAGTTGAAAGGCGAATTAAAACGGAGTCAAGTAAGAATGCTGAGTCCTACCTACTGGGCTTGGGTGTGTCATTGTGACATGCTGGGAGGTGTGGAGCACAGGAAGACTACAAATGCTCACTTTTACCTGACAACCTGGTAAGCTTCTCCTCAGCAGCTAATGAAAATTATGTAACAGTCCATTTTCTTTTTTTACCTCAACTCCATCCCTAATACAGTTGATTTTACCCGGGGATTGTTTTAAAATCTAACAATACCATTGGGATTATTCTAAGCACTTAATTATATTTATTTTTCTTTCCTCCTATGGATCTTTCTATTTTCTATCTGCAGTGCGGCCATCTTATTGAAAATGACCCCGTTGTAAGGAGCTTTGGGACTTTACTCTCTGATGGAAGTTGGAATGACATAAGCAAGTAACTAAAACAATAGAATGGACACTGCTGGTCACACAGCCTGAACATTTAGGTTATGAAGAGGCAGCCTTAATTCTAGTCAGATCGCAAGGACATCATGGCTTCGCTGTTCTTTCATTAAGATGCTTAATGATAGCAAAAGCAAAACACAGAAAAACAAACCTGGATTTTCTAAAACAGTTCAAATGTATTCCATTGCTACTATCAGTTGTAAATAACAGTATTGTGTTAAAAAGTTATGTAAAATCAGTCTGGGTGAAAACTTCTAGCATTGCAAGGTTGGCACTTATTCACACCCTAATAGCTGTTTGTAAGGAGCCTCTCTGAGAGGCCAGGAAGGGTAAGCTTGCTTCATTGCAGACAAAAGTTATTTTGGCAGGCGATGCCTTTTGGTTAGGGGAACAAGCCTCTATTCAGTGCTAAGATGCTTTGGAACACGGGGAGGACATACCGTCGTGCTGATCTTGCCATTCTCTGTGGTCATGCTGTCTCTGTGGTGCAGGTGTGCAAAGGGCTTGGCCGCCCCCCAGGACTCCAGGTACCGGGTCATGCGCACAGAGGCCCTCATCTTGGCTCCATCAAGGGTGTGGCGAGGTCTGAAGAGGTGCTGGGGACTCCGTCGTTCTCCCTTGGGGTGAGAAACAAAGCATTACACCTGGCGTGCCAAAGGTGCACGCCTTCTCCTTCCTACTGCACCTTCAGGCAGTTTCCTAGCTCCCATTCAGGAATTTTCCCTTGACTAAGCGCATTCCTTTAACATCACCCCCTTAACCTTTATGGCTTCTGCCCTCATTCCTTCAGTGCCACTGGTATGCAGTCTTACAAGCTGTTTGAGCTAAGTGATATTTTTTCCAGACAGCAAAGGTTACCTGTAATTTAAACTTAGAAAAAAAATAGCCATTTTAATAAGCATTTTTATAAAGCAAATTCTTAAACAGATATGCTGATCTGTTTCAAGACCTCTTTGATGATTGAGTTTCCCTAATGTGACTGGAATAGAGACCGAAGCTGGGTTTGTTTGTTTTTTTAACACTAATAGTCTTACTTATCCATGATTTGGTGTTCTTTGCATGAACACAGTGTGTTTTTGTACTCATTTTTTTTTTTTTTGCTTTTTTCCCATGGCACCCCCCACATAACCCCATAGTTTTTCGTGCTGTCTCACATCTGTCTGTGTATCAACTGTCAAGTGAACTGAAGTTTGCCTCCAAAGGTGAACCTGGGGTTTGAGGGAGGCTCCCATAAGTAGACATCACCCACTTGACCCTGTGGTATTGATTTTGACAGTTTGGGAATGTTTTTGCTCATATTTGCACCATTTAACTGCTGTTGATTTAGGGTAAGTTACATAACCCCTCACAGTTTTGCATTCTTAATCTTTAAATAGCAACAATAGTCATATGGCATGTAGCTTCGAGAAAGGTTAAAAGAGTGAGAGCTCTGAGGCCCTCATTCTGGCTGACATGTGGTGCGAACAGAGGGGGCCGGCCCTGACCTTCTGGATGGGCAGGGTTTCTTTCAGGCAACAGAGGGTTTTATCGCACGGGAGTTAGACATGTCTGCACACATGTCCTCACACAAACATATAGGTGACATTTAGTTGTTAATCTTTTAGAAACTCCTTCTTTTCCTTTTTCTTCTATGTTCATCCTATTTCATCTCATTATATTTTTACCATCTGAGGGCCTAAACAAAATATTTCTCATTAATTTTCCAACTGCCAGGCTGGGAACCAGAAGTATTATGCATTAACATATACATTGACTAACATATGCAATCTTGTCACAGTGACTATTTCCATTATTTCTTTAATAAATAAATTTAAATTCATTATTTAAAACACGTTCCCAAATTAAAATGCCATATGCATTCAAAGTAATTTTAGAGGGCACGACTTACACTAGTTCTTTACTGAAAACACCTATACAGTAATTTGCTCCCTGTCTTTTCACCACAAAAGTCATAGGCTAATTATAGACTCTTAACAATACTGACCTTAGGATTGATTACAAAGTAGGTTTTCACCAGGTGCTGCTTTAAATATGGGTCCCTGATGTCACCGTCTCCCTCCTCCACTTTGTAAGCCCCATTCAGGTGCTCCAGGGTGACAGAAGAGATGTGAACACGCCTGAAATTCCATTTTAAAACCACAATCAAGATAAAGAAGGATATCCATGAAGGAAGGCTTTCTATTTATTTGTCATTTCATAAATAATTTCTTCCCCTCCCTGCAATGAAGGAAAGGCTGTATGTTCTTGGTAAAATGGACCACGATCTTCAGAAAGATGCTTCGGAGGTTGGGGCTACTTCTATTCAGAGCATCTCAGCACTCAGAGAAGCCTGCTTCATGGGCGTGGTGAATAACAGCTTGATCACAAAGAATTTTTGTGTATGAGCATATTTGTTGAAATGCATACCAGAAGCATTTTAGAAAGCGTGCTGATCTGTAAAAAAGTATGGGTTTTCTTTCTCAACATTTGCTCTCTTGCTTCTCCCAATTATAGCACTTGCATTGAAATTTTCTTGTCTGAAATGGGATCTAACCAGAGATGGATGCCACAGTTTTCTCCTTTTAATAGTACTGGTTTCAGAGGTCACCAATAATAGAGAAATGCCATAACTGCACTGCAAGATAAAACATTGGCTTATGTCTCTATTCATAAATTTGCAAATAAGTAAAAGTCTGTAATTTAGGATCTGATATCAATAGTCTTTGACCATGGGTCAGGGGGTGGTAGAATTGGAACTTGACAGGTCATGTTTATCTGATTAATGAAAGAGGCTGTAGGGTGTGAATAACATAGAAATCATCCAACACTGAGCAGTAAGTCATTAACCTGCTGACTAACCGTCTAGCGAACTTAAAGAGAGAAATGGAGCGTGTGGCCTTACCCTGGAACGCCTCCAGCTTCCATGTGATTGGCTAAGGTGACGTCATGTGACCACACATCGTACTGCCACTTCTGCAGACCAATCACGCCACAGAGGACATTCCCGGAGTGCACGCCCACGCGCATGTTGATATCAACTCCTGTAGCGTCCCTCACTTTCCTAAAGAGAAAGAAACTTACATCCTCATCCAGGAACAGCCTCTCCTTCCTTTAACTCTTGGCCAAGTTTCAAGACATTTTATTATTCAGAATTTCTTGGACTACTGAAATATTATCACAAATTCTCCTATAGCTATAGGAGATGATTGTTGCTGTGAGGCAAGAGAAAGGGTTTTTCTTTCTTTCCAGGCTAGACCTAAGCTCCAGCTCTTTGGCTAGTAAAGCCGCGTCAGGCCAGGCCATGACGCAGAGGTAGTATTCTGACTATAGCTTTACTTTTACAACTGATGTGTATCAAGCACCTTTCATGTGCTGATACCTGTCCTGAATTTTCGTACTAGAATCACGGCACATTGTTGAGTACTGTCGGGAAGGGTCTCAGGTGCGACATGCAATTCTAGTGCTTATTACCCTAATGTACGTCCCCAATGTAGAGACAATACAGCTTATTTGTGAGCTTAATAATGACTTTAGCCTGAATAGCAATTTAAAAAAAAACACCCCATGAAATTAAAGCTTTTTAATTGTGCCCATTCTTTAACAAAAAAAGAAAAATACTTGGCAAAAAGCTACAACAATGCATATGGTATCATTAAAGAGAAACTAATTTTAAAAATCATTTTATTGTTTTAATTATTTCTTAATTGGGGTGACATTGGTTAATAAAATTATACAGGTTTCAGGTGTAGAATTCTATAATACATCATCTGTATTTGTACTGTGTGCTCAATCGAGGCCAAATCTCCTTTCGTCACCATTGCACTCCTTTTACCCTCTTCTACCTTCCCCCACCCCACTTTCCCTTCAGTAATCACCATGCGATTGCCTGGGTCTCTGAGGTAGTTTGTTTGTTTGTTTGTTTGCTTGATCCCTTCAATTTTTCACCCAGCCCCCTAAGCCCTTTTCCCACTAACAGTTGTTAAAAAATACCTTAGGACCCTGTCTTCAACTCATTAACAGAAACCCATGAAGAGCTTTCTTTAAAGGAAAACGACAATGCTTGGTAATGCTTATTTATTTCTGCCAGCTAAGTACATTTATCAATTAAAATATTATTGTAAAAGAAGTATGCAGGAAGGTGTCCCCAGTTACCTAGAGAGGATCAGCCCCAGAGGCTATGTGAAGGAAAACAACAACACAGCACGGCAAGGAGGAAGGGTTACCAGGTGTGACCTCCAGTAAATGAAACTTAAATGGCTCAAAATGACGAAGGTATAGAAGTCATGCTTAAATGATAAAATGACATCATTTGAGCATGCTAAAAATGATAAAAAGAAACAGGCCTACAATGTAAAAACAAACGGCCTCCTGAGAAAGGAATATAGAAAGTTATTCCCTTCTCTTTCCTTCCCTCCTCTGCCCTTCCTCTCTATCTTCCTTTCATAGTTTTTATCCCCCAAAAGACAACAACCTATTTGGCATCAGGCAGGTCATCCAAACCCTTCATTCCTGCCCACAGGATGAGCTACATCTACAAGACATGAGACCTGCCCCAACACTGCCCTCTAGCGGCAGTGAGTGCTAAGGCTGCCCAGGCCCCATATGGTCCTCACCTCTAGACTTTTGCTCATGATGGCCCTTCTCTCTGCTCCCCACTCCCCTGAGTCTCCTTTCCCTGACAGAGTGTGGGTGTCACATGGCCAGTTTGTCTTGTTTCTCCATCCATGGCTTAGGTATGACCTTGTCCTCCTCCAGGAAGGCTTCCTGGCCTCTTTCTAGGTTCATGTAGGAAGCCCTCCTACATGCTCCAACCTCCCTGAGTGCAGGTAGCAATCCCATTTGTGTTCACATTGACTCTCGGAGTGTCACCCCTGTGAGCGCATAGACTTTGTCCAAGGGGTTTGTGTACTCACCAGTGGGTTCAGGGCCTGGGGCAATGTAGACACTCAATACAAGTTTATTAATTGACCCAAGTCATTTCAGAAGGATTTACTTTGTTTCTCTCTTTGGGTGATGAATAATTTGTCATAAAACCCATAATTGTTCTTAAGATTTTATGTAGTTGAGAGAGAATAGGTCCAACCATGTGGCATTTCCGTATCAAAATAGGGTCAGCAGAGAGCCAAGAGGGGATAACAAGGCAAGACAGGGCACTCTGCAGTGGCCATTTTAACAGAACTGACTGGTTAATAATTTGACTCTTTAAAACTATCTCCACATGCTGCATGTCTTTTGTAAAAAAATGAGTTGATTCAGGGTTCAAATGAATTCACTGACCAAATGTTTTAATGCATGCCGATGCAATCTATGTGATTTGTAGAAAAAATATTGAATTGCTTAACGCTTACTACCATAATAGACAAACTTTGTAGTTGAAGAGGAACCTTAATGACTTACAGCATCAGGGTCTCACATATGACTTTGTTGATTAAGAACAGTTTACATACACATGACAGGAAAAAACAAATCTCTCTAAGCATGGGCAATATTCCAGAACTGCAGCCAAAGTGCTTCTGCAGCAGTGCGTTAGCGAACGGGAACTGGGTGCTGAGTAAGTGAGGCGATTCTACCACAGAGGGGAAAACACCGGCAAATGTTCACGAACCCTCACTGCTGGTTCCTACCAAAATACCTGAGACAGTCTGGCGAAAGTCCGAGTGCCAAGTGTGCTCTTGCTCTTCACCATCTTAAAAAAATTAAAATTCCTTTATTCATCCTCATCTTATGGTTTAATGAATGGGATTGAAATGCTTGCCCTTACACGTGAGAGAGAACGAAGAATTCTTGAAATTTGCTGAGATGCCCTTTCTTTTCCTGCCTTTTATTGGAGGGGGATGTAACAAAACAACCTATTAATGATCACTTTGTCAGCTGTATATAAGCCAAATAAGTGATTTAGAAGAGAGGAAGAATGTGGAGGCCATGATCAGTGAGTAGAAGATAATGGGGACACATGCTCAGTAAGATATGAAGCTAAGTTTAGTCAAAAGTAAGAGTTCTGGAAAGTTTCTTCAAATCTGCTAACATCACCGAGATTCTGGAAACATAAGATATTACTGATGTATCTGTGATGAAATGGATAAATCAAATTGATATGTACATGCAATGAAAAATGATTCCACCATAAAATGAAACGAATTACTGACACATGCCACAGAGCACATGAACCTTGAAAACATCCTATGTGAAATAAGCTATACACTAAAGGACAAGTATACTGTATTATTCCACTTACATGAAATAACTAAAATAGGCAATGTCATAGGGACGCAAAGAAGATCAGAAGTTACCAAAGGCTGCCAAGAGGTGGGTAAGGGGAATTATTGCTTAATGGAGTTCCTCTTTGGGATGATAACAAGGTTTGGGAGTAAATAGTGCTGATGATTGCACAACATTTTGACTGTAATGAACACCAGTGAATTGTACACAGAAAAATGATTGAAAGGGCAATATTTATGTTATGTATATTTTACCATAATGAAAACAATGTAACAGAAAAAAAGATATTACTGATGAACTGGTGACCTGTCAGTGGATCAGCATCAAGGATTCTTTCTCCTAAAAGCTCTTTGACTTGCTGGAATAATGCAAACATAGCAGAACCGGAAAACAGCCAACCCAGAAGCAGAAAGCAATCTTCAGTAAAAGGGTGAATTGTTTAATCCAAAATATTATGGATGCACATAAAAAGTAAATTTATCCTTTATAAAATAAATCCAGAGAAACAGCTTTCCTCCAACAGCACCCATTTCACCTCACGTGTGAAGCCAACACCGAGGCTGCCTCCAGGCACAGGTTGTAAATTTGAGAAAACCTATTAGTTCCACTGATTTGATTCACCTCCATCTAGATCCACAGTGTTGGGAAGAGTTAATGGCTTTTAAAATAAGTATAAATATTTTTCAAGTATCAGAGAAGACCAAGGATTTACTTATGGGGAGAAGCAAGGACCGTTATTTCCCACCGTTAACGGTCAGGGTAGCTGAGGCCACACTGACTAACCCCACCCCACCTCAATTCTTTGTTTGATTTCACTTTATTCATTTGCCTCCCATTCCTGGATCTGCTCAGTGGCCTATGACCATTGCTACTGAGCTAGTGGACCTGGAACACTTAGGTCTCCCGGGCTCAGCGGAGGCTGTGGGGGCTTCATTATTCTGCCCTGGAGGCCACCTTTTAGTCATTTGAGCTCATGGCCAACGGACATGAGGACCTAAACCCAGTGACAGCCTGATTTTCCTGCTTCCTCATGTAAAACCACATCTACTCCAGCCCTGAGACAAGGAAACAGAACACTGACCACTTAATTCCTATCCCATTTAGAGTAAAACTATGTGGAAGGCAAGGTAAAATCACTTCACTAAAATAGGCAATCAAAATGCCCAGTAAACTAAACTCTTTCAATCATATAATCAACAAAGAGCTTTTATCATTTACAAGAATATTCTGGTTTCTACAAAGGGCATTGCTAAAGATGGATGCAATATGGTACTGGGAATTAAAATTAACTTTGTACCTGATACTTTTACCCTGTAACCCCGGTAACATGTCAACTCTAATGAAAACATTATTCTACATAAGTAAATCTTCCCTAGAATTACAATGAAAGAAACTATAGATACGACACAGGAAACATATACTATGACTATAAACTGAAACTAACTTCTCAGAGCTGAGAATTTTTGACTAGATAAAGTAATTTTGAGCTGTGTTTTATATTACTTGCTGCCTGGTGATAGAACTACTTTCCTTCTTACAATTTGTATATAGCCATATTGTCTGTCAGAAATCACAAGAGATCCTAAGAGTGCAGACATTTTAAGATTAGAAAGGACATTTAAACTTTTTGAAAAATCACTTTTGAAAAAAACTCAAACTGTCCTTTTCTATAGATTTCTAATTCAGTTTCACAAAAATTCTAGGGCCAATAATAATAATACAAAACACTTAGAGAAATCTTACTTTGGATCGAACTACTCACATGCCAACAAATGGGTCTCTGCACACTTATATTGAAATGGACAGTAAGGTATTTAATGCCAGGAAACAGATAGATAGAAATAGTGGCAAGTGAGAACTGCAACTAAAACTTAACTAAACTGTTAAAGAAGATCTTAGTAAGCATCACACTTACTTGATGGCTTCACACATATCCAGTCCCATTTTCACACAATTCTTGGCATGGTTAGGCAGAGATATCGGGAGTCCAGACACACAGTAGTAGCAGTCCCCTAAAATTTTTATCCTCATACATTCATTCTCCTAAAAGAAAACGAAAACAGAATTTCAGTTGCTTTAAGCATTTACATGATCATTTAAATTGACAGAATATCAAGAGCTAGTTCTACTGATACAGTGAGTGGGGTTCCTGGGGAGAGAAATGAGAACAAATTGGGTTTCCCTTCACCACCCACCAAGAATGAGCGATCCTCACCCACAAGCCCATTTGCCAGGGGAGAATAAGAGAAAGGGGATGAAAGGGAAAGCAGAGAATGTTCTGGAATGATTTCTACTTAATACTAGCAGAGGATTATACAGACAGGATCTTTCTCCTTAGTCTGAGCATTCACAAACATTGATGGTGAAATGAGACATTCTATGCAGAGAAGAATCTTCCAGGGCAGAAAATGATGACCAGATCCGCGCTGAAATTAGAAACTATGTCATTCCCTACTATGTCTCCTTTATTCCCTCACGGTCTCCTTCATTTATTTGAAAGATTCTCACCTGCAGACATGTAGCTTCTGATAAACATCTCCACCATATAATAAGGTATCACTTGTTATTGTCAAGTTATTTAAAATAACTCTGATCTTAGGTTAAACCAGTTAATTACAAAGTTAGATTAACTCATTATTTTCCTTGGTTGGGTTGTATTTATAATATGGAGACTGACTACACTCATATTCATCAGACTTACATCCACTTCTAACCTTTTCAACTGGCTGATAGACTCTCGACTAAAATAAAAAATCCAAAGCCAAAAACAAAACCAAAGATATACCAAATACAGATTTTTCCTTTTTAACACTAGCACAATTTTAGGTATAAACTGAATAAATTTGAAATAATAAAATATAAAATATTTTTGTTCTTAACCATGTTGTAGGTTTATAGAAGATTTTGCATATTTCTGCCTTTGATGGAGAGAGTGCATACTTTCATGTTTATCTACAGCTCTGTAGCTGATGTGCCAGTACTTCCTAATGACAGTATCATGAGTAACAAAAAGGCAAACAAGTACTTTTTGATAAGGATTTCCTCTCTTGTTTCTTAAATAGATATTCTGTATTGTGAGCCTAGTATCTAGAAAACTACAATATTAATAACAGTGAATTCTTGGCACAATACTGTTATTGAAAATGAGTTCTGCGTATATGCATGGGTTTATGTTTGGGCCCTCTATTCTGTTGCATTGGTTTGTATGACTGTTTTTATGCCAGTATCATACTGTATTGATTGCTGTAGCTTTGTAATATATTTTGAAATCAACAAAATAGAAAGAGAGGCATGGATGTATGGAACAGACTGACAATTGTCAGAGGGGAAGGGACTTTGGAGGGGCTGGATGAAATAAGATAAGGGGATAAGCAAAAAACATATATATATAACTGATAAACACAGACAACAGTGTGGTGATAGCCAGAGAGAAAGGGGGTAGGGGGCAGGTGGAGGTATGCAAGGTGGGGAAAGAGGGAAATGGAGATGGAAAGAGACTTTGCTTGGGGTGTTGGGCACATGACACAATATGTGGATGATGTTTTATTGAGTCGTACACTTGAAACCTGTATGAGTTTGTGAACCAATGTTGCCCCAACAAATTCAATTTTAAAAAGTGTGCTGCCTTCAGCTGTTTTCCTTGCTCAGAATTACTTTGACTATATGTGATCTTTTGTGATTCTTTATCAATATTAGGATGGTTTTTCTATTTCTGTAAAAATCACCATTGGAATTTTGATAAGGATTGCATTGAATCTGTAAATGGATGTGGGTGGTATGGACATTTTAACAATATTACTTTTCCAACCCATTAACACAGGCTGTCTTTCTACATATTTGTGTATTTTTAGATTCAATGTTTTATGGTTTTCAGTGTAGAAGTCATTTACCTACTTGGTTAAATTTGTTTTTAAGCATTTTATTCCTTTTGATGCTAATTTAAATGAGATTTTTTAATTTCCTTTTCATATATTTCATTGTTAGTGTATATAAATGCAACTGATTTTTGTAGGTAGATTTTTGTATCCTGCAACTTCACTGGATCCATTTATTTGCTCTAATGGATTTTTGTGGATTCCCTAGGGCTTTCCACATATATGGTCATGTCATCTACAAATAGAGATAATTTTATTTCTGCCTTTCTGATTTTGATGTATTTTATTTCTTTTTCTCTTGCCCTAATTGCTCTGTCTAGGACTTCCAGTATTATGCAGTACTACATTGAACAGAACTGGTGAGAGGAGGTGCCTCTGTCTTGTTCCCAGTCTTAGAGGAAAAAATTTTGGTTTTTCATCATTGGGTATGATATTAGCTTTGGATTCTTCATATACAACTTTATTGTGTTGAGTTAAGGTCCTTCTCTACCTTATTATTTGAGAGTTTTTATCAAGAAACGGTGATAAATTTTGTCAAATGCCTTTTCTATATTTATTGAGATAATCATGTAGTTTTTATCCTTCATTTGGTTAGTGTGGCATATCACATTGATTTACAGATCTTGAACCATCCTTGTATCACAGGAGTAAATCCCACTTGGTTGTGGTGTATGATCCTTTTAATGAGCTGTTGAATTCGATACACTAAGTGAAATAAGCCCTACATAGAAGGACAAAATGCATGATACTACTTATATGATTAATCTAAAATAGTCAAATTCAAGTATATTAGTGGTTGCCAGGTCTAGGGGGAGGAAGAAATAGGCAGGCCTTATTCAAAACATACAAAGTTTCAATTATGCAAGATGAATTAAATCCTAGTGATCTACCGCACAGCATAGTGTCTACAGTTAACAATATTGTATTGTATACTAAAAAATGTGCTAATAAAGGAAATCTCATGTTAAGTGCTTTAATAAAATAATAATAAAGAGGGCAAGAGGAGACTTTTGAAGGTGATGTATATGTTTATGGCATATAATGTAATGATGGTTTCATTGGGATATACTTACCTTTAAACTCATTAAGTAGTATATATTAAATATGTATAGTTTTTTGTATATCAACTTTACCTCAATAAAGTGGTTTAAAAAAGTAATGGCAAATGAACAATGACTTCACGTTTCTCAGCCTGAAGTTATGTGCTTTGCACAGTAGTCACTCAAAGGACTGAGCTATCTGTTTGCTTACGACATTCTCCAATTCCACGTTATTTAAGTATGAGGCATGAACTGACTCTGTGACTAACAATCCTGGGCCAGCCTCCGATATGGCCTGCACAGTCCTGTTATGACTGATCAGAAAGGAACTGGAAGTCACACTGAAGATATAGGTAATGAATTGTGTTCTCCCAAATTCACATGCTGAAGTCCTAACCCCTGGTACCTATGAAGGTGACCTGATGTGGCAATACAGTCGTTGCAGATATAATTAGTGAAGGTAAGCTCATGTAGGAGTGGAGTGGGCCCCTAATGTAATATGACTGGTGTTCTTATTAAAAGGGGAAGTTTGGACCCTGAGACTTGCGCACCATAGAGAATGACCAGGAGAACGCCATATGAACGTGGGAACTATGTTGTTCCCTGCCAAGTTGGGATATTTCTTCATAATGTGACAAGGGAGTCCAACAAAAATGACCTTTTATTAATTCAAACATTCATGACATTATGTTTCAACCATTCTTTTTTTTTAATAACGAGCACCCAGAAACTCAGTCTGTTCCTTTGGTTTGTTAAAGGAAAGAATCAGAGCTATTCTCTCACTAATTTTTGAAATCCCCAGTGGGAGCTGCCACGGTCAGTTGGGCAGCAGAGGCACTTCAGAGGGAACTTGACCTGAGAGTGTCTGAAAACACCTGCAAGCCAGAGCTGTTCCTAAGAGGCTTGGCTGGACCTTTCTGTGTTGTTTAAAAGTGAAGCGAATCTTTCAGTAACTGAATTTGGGACCAACTCTTCCATATATAAATAACACATCTTAATAACCATAATGAAGTATTTTTTTCATGGGAAACAATTCAAAAGATAGGATTAGGCTAACTGGAAATGTTTATAACAAATAAAGGGCTAACAAGTAAGAAATTTTTTAAATCAATGCTCCCACCAGAAACCCTAACAGTTCCAATAAGTAAGGAAGCTCTAGTGTGGATAGATCACTTGCCATCATTTCTTATAAATGAACATATGAATGGCAAATACTGAACTTAGTTTGTTCTTAAGTGGCACATGGGTCAATGGATAAAAATGAGACAATAGTAAATAAAGGGCTTAGGGAGAAGGTACACATCCTACTCCAGGGGTACTCCTAGGGTGCTTATTAACAATGCGATTGCATGATAGTTATAACTGGATGAAGGGATCCCACGTTTTCAACTCCTTGACATTAAAATGCCTAATAAAAACAGCACAGAGCACAGAGATGTGCAAATTAAATCTAATCATTTAAAATGTATTTATTATGTGTGCGCTGAATTATATAAATGGATGTTTTAAAAATTGATGATAACATGCTAGCTATATGCTGTGGCATTTCTCTTAGGTTTGAGACTTACCAGGGCTCAACGGCAAAGAAATCTAACAAATTTACAAACATTCCTAAAGGATGCTTTTTATAAAAAAGGAAGAAGTTCATAACGGGCCAGAAAAAAGTAAGCCAAAATTTTATATATCTTCAAAATTAAAGGGAATCACTAATACTCACCTTTGCAATTTGATCGAACTTTCCAAAAAGTTCGTTCAGCATGTGGACCAGTTCTCCCGGGGAGCAGTCACTGGCCAGCCGGGTGAACCCAACAATGTCGGCGTACAGGATGCTGTGCGAATGAACAAAGGGGGCAGTGTCTGCAAGTTTATGTTTTTTAAGAAGGGAATGATACTGTTTTCGGTTACGAGAGTATGTATTTTTTACATTTTATATTTATATTTTCATAAGAAAAATGTCATTTCTCTGGAAAGGAAGTACATAAACATTTTGTTAAATGTTCCCATTAAATATTTTTATAATTAAAATAAGAAAAAATAAGACTCATGATACACTTTTGCCGTTCTAGCCTGTCCTTACTGATCACCTTTCTGCCTCAGGGCCAGCCCTGTTCTCCCTCCCTGGTTTATGCGGTATTGACCCTGCCTGCTCATTACACTGTCATAACCCTAGTATCAAATGAGTATGTTTCTATTTGTTACTTGAATTTGTATTATAAGAATTCCTAAAGTAGAAGCAGCAAAATAATAAAAGCTAAATCCCATTTTTATTGATTCAAAAAATAAAAACTGGAATAATAACCTTCTTCAAAGAAAGTCTACTTAATAAAAGATCCCAGATTACTTAGTACCTGCCAGGATGAAACAGACATAGTACATCTTCTTAAAGCTCAGAGGTTAGCTGGGTAATGAAATAAATAAAGACAGAAACAATGCCCAGTTACAATGATAGTAAGTTCAAAAAAAAAAAAAGAAGAAGCAGACTGCTATGAGAAAGAAAAGAGTGTGTGTTGGGGGCTGGGAGGGTCGGCCAACGGTTGGGAAGGGGGTGGTGATCAGACGGTTAAGAAAGAGTCCAGGAAAGTCACTCTTAGGAAATGACAGGGCAGCCTCCCTTCATGGGTGTCCATGCTAGGGGGACAAATCAAAACAAGCTTGTAGGGGAAGGGGGCTGATTTGCCCCTCATTGTGCTGAGTTTCATGGTGGTGTCTGTGGAACACCCAAGAGGAAGACACCCATTAGATAGATAATATGGAAAACTAGGATTGAGTTCTGTGTCTTAGCACCATGTGATTGGTAATTAAATCCCAGGAGAGAGCTGGAGAAAACAGGGAAGAGCAAGGAGAGAGCCCTGAACACATTCTAATTTTATAGGAGAGGCTAGAATTAGGGAAGGAAAATACAGTCGAGGAGACTGCGGAAAGAAAGCCAAAGGGGGAGGAGGTCAGGAGAAGGAGGGATGGCGGAATTCTGCAAGTGCAGGAGCAAGGTCAGGAGGCCTAGCAACCTGAGCAGTCACTGAGATTAGGGTGCAAATACATGTCAAACAGATTCGGGAACAAGACAGTTGGTGAATTTAGCAAGAATGAGTTCTGTGACATGAGGGAGGTTAAAGCTAGAGTGGCAATTTGAGGGGAGAGAGAAAAATAGATTAGTCAGAGAGTGGAAAAAATCTCTAGAATCTGAGCTATGAAAGGCAGAAAGGTCATTTTAGAGCTGGATGGCGGTGCTGGGTTAACAGGTGAGCCTGTTTTGAAAAATGTGATGGGTCTGTGACTGTTTCAGCACTAGTGGGTGGGATTCAGAGGAAGACCTTGAAGATTCAGGAAGCAGCTGCTGGTTGTTACCTTTACAGCTATAAATTCTTGTTTCGTCCCCCTCCTCTCCTTTTCCTCATTATTATTATTGTTGTTGTTGTTATCATTCAGTGATAAAGACAATAAATATTTTGTTGAATGAATGGTCTAAGCAGAATTAAAAATTAGCAACTGATCTTTCTGGTGCTCTCCAGAAACCTATTAATTTTCATTAAAAAAAATCCTCAGATAGTGACTAGACTATCTGTGTTACCCATGCATCATGCCTGCTCCTTTGCTTGTACCTGCCCTGTTGCAGGATGAAAAAGCAGTGTCTTCATATTTCTTTTAAAAATAATTGCTACTTGATGTCATTTAAGGATTTACATTGTAAGTTTTTAGTATTTAAGTTACCTTACGATTCCAAGTATATTTTATGAATTTAAATTTAATTCAATTCTGCAAACATATTCTAGACAATGTGTGAGGAAAATTAAGTCCAATGAAGCTGCTTCATCAATCCTTTGCCTTAGACGGTGTGGCACTCAGCTTTCAAGATGGCCCCAGGGACCCTCACCTCCTGCCACTCATACCCTGCACTGGCCCCTCTCACACTGAATGGGACTGACCTGTGTAAACAATAGGATACCCCAGAAATGACCAACTAATGATCACCAGGCTAAGCTGCTTCCAAATGCCCACCCACAGAAACTGGGAGACAATGTTTATTATTGTTTTAAGTCAACTCATTACGCAGAAATTGATAACTAATATCATGAGAAGCCTGAAGTTGATGGTGTCTCTAGCCATTTTTATAGGTCTTTTGTTCCTGCATTGTGTCACAGCTAGTTACAGATATGCTGTGATCCTTGTTAGATAGAGGTGCGTGTATCTTCACATGTTTTGAATACCTAATATGACTTTAAAATGTTCCCTGAAATGGAAGGGGCATTGCTGATTCTCAGACACTGAAGGTTGGAAAAAAGCTTTTTCCTAGTATAATATGCCTTGCCAGACAAACACTGTGAATGGTGTTTCTTTAGGTACGTAGGGAAAATACTAAAAAATCTGGAGAGGTCAGTGTTTTAAATCATTTTATTCCTTAACGTGTGTAAATATCCTTTAATTTTTATCTATTCCCCAAAGGGGCCAGAGTTTTATTTAAAAAACTTACTTCTGATTCTTCATTTATCCAATTGTGCTTTTACAATTTAGTTTGCAACCATTTTTCTATTATCTTCTCAATATGCATTTCTTATTGTACATTAGCTCTGTGTATGATTGGGCCATGTATATCATTAGATCTATGCACCTTTTCTAAACTCTGGTGTCAAAATGAAATTTGTTTTAGAAGTGCACTTATTTTGCAATTAAATTTGTTTCTTACTAATGAACTTCAAAACCCTTGACCTGAAGCAACCAGACCGGAAGGCAGCATCATACATTGCAAAGATTTGGGACTTGGGAAAGAACAGGGTGATCCCAATTCCAGCTGCTGCTCAGTAAATTTTAGTTGTCTGTAATTGTTATTATAGAACTATTGAACAAGGGGGTGGGTAACTCTCACAGCTAAAGTATTAACATTAAAACATATCGAATGAGGCAAGATACATGCATGAGAACAAGACGCCCCACACCTTTCTCCTTCCTGACCACAATCTCATGCTGATAACATGTTAGTTTTCCAGGTACTGTGATCCCAGGAATGGCTCATGGAGAATATGATAATGCCAGACTTTGAAAAGCAACAACTTTGACTATAAATTAATTAAGGTACATATCAGTCCCTTGTGATGTTGGTCGCTGATTGACCATATCCCAGAAACCTTTTAATCTTGGTGAACAGCGGATCACCCAGATTCCCCAGAAAGGGCTGGCTTCTCTGAGGCCTTCCTGCCAAGCCCATCTTGAGAAATCGTCCTTGTGCTGAGAGCCCACTGACCCTCCCTCCAATCTGACTACAATCTGAGTGTCCTGGGCTCTAGGCACCAAGAGATCAGACCATGTCATTTTCAGAATAAGGACCCCACTCTCTATCTTTCCATTTTATATGACTGATGGTCAGCTATAGACATCAGGGTTATGAGGGAAAACTCAGTAGAGGATCCTATTTTCCTAACATGAAGGCCTTGAGAGGCAGCACACTGGTGGGTGAAGAGGTAACTACTCCAGGCGCAACGGTTTAACAAGTGCAATGGAGACGTGCCATTGTAAGATGTGGCCTTCCAGTTAAAAGTGTCCCCACTCCATGAACAGGCTCCCCAGGCTTGCTGAGGAAGAAGAACAGAGCAGGGTACCTGACATTGGTGTGTCGCTTGACGTAGAGGTTGTGAAAGTTGTTTGTGTTTTCCATTTGGCCGGCTTTGGGGCCCTGCAGCCTCTGGATGATCTCAGCCTTCATTTCCATGGCTATGTGAGCCGGCAGCAGGGACAGCAGCAGCCGCTCCTGAAACAGGTGTGGAAGGAAGACTGAGATTTCTGATAACGAAGGGAACACCCAAGGAATATAGGAAATCATGAAGTTATAGTGTGGCCAATTTGAGGACTATTTCCAACAAGTCTAAAAGATAGATTCTTGGACTACATATTGAAAATAAAATCAAATTTTCTAAGGTCAGAGTGTATTCTTTAGTGTGGAGAAAAAGGGAAGGCAAAGTTATTTCCCCAAAGATATTATTTTTCCATTTTGATTTTAAAGTAGTAAAACAGAAATAATATTAGAATGCCAGAAACCAGTGGTGAGTTTAAGATAGAAAACACTCGTTTTTGCTTGCTTGCTCAAATGAGAGATAAGGTAAAAGCTTTATTACACTTTAGAAAGCCAACCAACATTCCATATTTCCTAAATAAAATAAATATTTTCCACTATTTCATTTTCTCTATGAGGAACATTCAATCCCCTTTGGTGATTCTAAACTATTGTAAAGACAGAGTCAGGAACATTAGCCTCTGTAAAACATCGTTATAAAAAACTACAGGTGGAAGGCAAAGAACTGATATGAGCTTTTCTTATATTTTTGGTTTCTAAATTTAGAAAATTCAGTACATAATAGCACACGATATTACAGTTATTTTAATATGTACGTATTTTAGTTAGAGTGGTGCTTTTCCATTCTCTTCAAGGAAAATACGCAGTATTTTTTTTTTTGAGGAACAGTATTGCAGAAGGGCAGTCTTTAAAAGTTTATATTCATCCTAGAGTATTTAAAATGTTAACCTATTGTAGAAAACACCATGTTCTTCAGGTATTGTGGATTTAACATTTATTGTGGTATTCAGTGTTGATAAACATTTTAAAAATGAAACGTTTTCTCCATCTTCCTTTTTTTTTGGAAGTAGGGGCTGAGGGGAAGCTGGGCTTTGCTCCCAAGTTCACAGGGCAAGAGGCCCACCTTCTGGACCCTCCCCAACCATGTTGGTGGCTGTTGAGAACTTCTCCCGAGGAAACAGAGCATGGTCCTAAAACTGCATCTTGATGCAGATGGGATGAGTCTCACTACAACCCACTCCAGCCTGCTTCAGGCAAAGGTAGGAGCAAAGTCAACAGAAGACTGAATACCTGCCTATAGGGGGACCTCAGCTCTCCATGAACTGGCATAACTGAGCCATTTGCTCGCTCATTCATTCATTCATTCATTCAGCCACTCTGAAAACACCTATCATCGCCCATTAAACACCAGGCTCCTTGATAAATACTAATGGTCAATGTAAAGCAAAATGAGACAAAATGTCCCTGGTTCCATGTTGTTCACAGTCCAGCAAAAAGCTGGCCTACGGTGCACTTGGTGTCAGATGAGCCTAGAAGGACTGGCCAGGGTTTGGAGAGAGCCGCATGCCTGGGACTCTGGGAAAAGAGAAGGGCAAATATAGTCCAGGCACATCTATTATGTGCCATGTGCTCCCAAGAGCTCTATTCATGTCGTCCAATTGAACCAAAACAGCAATCCTATCTGGTTAGTATTGCTACCAGCCTCCCTGCAATAGAGGTGAATGAGGTACTTAGGTAGCGGGCAGGGTGCTCCCACTTGTCATAAGTGCTCGTACTGACATGCTGAAGGGAATTTTATTGGTAATTATGAAGTTAAGAAAAGCCTTTTTACTTAATAATAATCTTTTAAATTTTTGTTCAATTATTGATATTTCTATTTAAATTAAGAAATGAAATGGAGAATTCAAAAGCATTTAGTAAGTTAAATGTCCATACAGACATCTGGGAAAATATAAAATCATATTAATTGTATAAAATAATGAGGGCCATGTCTTGTGTAGTCTAAGGCATAACAGAAATGAAATGTACAATGACATTAACACAAAAGATAAAATGGTAATAAATCAAGTTAAAATGTTTTGATGTCCAAGCACTGAGGGGGAAACGGCAAAATATATCAATTCATATGAGACTGCAATAAGTCCAGAAAGGATGCAATTGCCACATTTGCAGCAAAAGGAGTGAAAGAATATATGACTAATAAGCTAGCAGTGAAAACAGGAAGGAAGTCCTTGACTAATCCAAAACAAATCAATAAGGAAGAGTAAAAGAAAAACATAAGACAGGTGGAACAAATAGAAAGTAAATCATAAAATGGCAGCTATGTTAAATGATGTCCAAAACTGCTTCAAACAAATAGAAGAAAGCCAGTGAAGAAAGAGTGAAATTGCCATCAACCACAGTTAGGGCACCTGCCCGGCACACGCACAGACAGGAGCAGGGATGCTCCAGACGCAAAGGGCAGCATGCTGCTTTGAGGTGCCATCAAATCTCTGTCATTATCAAAGCAAATAGACACTGACTAGAAATGTGTTAACTTCTAAAACGGTGGCAAGGAATGTTAGCACGTAGAATATAGCAGATTATGAATCTGGAGCTAGGCTCTGTATTTAGAAATCCCAGTGGATTCTGCTGTCCACAGAGATGCCTGATGATCAGTTTAATCACCTTAAAACCAATTTTGTCCTCTTTTTGATAGGTGACAGATGAGTCCAGGGCTAAGGAAAAATAACATGCTCAACTGACATAGTTCTACATTGCTGTCTTACAATGATAACCCACATGTACATGAAGATTCAGTGCAGTCTTCTATTGAATTTAAAAACCTGGTAGACTCTCCCAATGTTTACATTCATTTTTAGTCATGCTTCTTGTAGCCAATGTTATCAGTATTTTACCCGCATTACTTCTTCCTTCCTTGAAGGTCACCTGCATCCTGTACCTTTATAAATCTAGTTTTCTGTGTCCCAACCAGTAAAGAAGTAATTGATGGAAATGCCCCCAACTTCTGTACCCATTACCCTTCATGGGCAGATCTGAGCATGTTCCACACTTTCCTCAGAGGGTCTCCAGCAGGACTGAGCCCCTGTTGCCACCAGCAGCCTCTTTCAATAGCTGACCTCCCTCCCCCACCCTCCTACCTGTAACCACTTCCCAACTAAGTGACTATACTCAGAGCCTTCCCTTAGGGTCTTCTTGCAGTAAACCTAAGACGGAATTTCTTCTCTCCTCCTCCTGAATTCTGTATTAAAATATGACAAATCCCAAAGCCCATAGAACCATACTTTCTTGAAAGACAGATTTCATGAACAAAAAACAAGAATCGAATATAGTAATTCTCTTCCCCGGCTGTAGCTTCATTTAGTGCCCAAATGTAAATGATGGTATTTTAGATCAAAATATAGATGGCTGACTGACTTATTTTAGGTAGCTTGAAAAATATATGTTGAATAAACTAAAATGGGGTAAGGTTTTCCTTTTTTAAAAGTGTTAAAGAATCCATGTGAATTTAGACTGGAATAAAGATTTTGGTAATAGCCCACCAGCGAAATAAAAGGGTCCAAAGTTCCCCCGTCTCATGTGCTTCTGGTGCTGCCGGTGGACCACAAGACCTTTTCTCTAGAGCTCATGAACAGAGCCTGTGCTTTGGGGCCTGCCCACGCCCTCTCGGTGATCTCAGCACTGGGTAATAGCATGAGACTCAAATGTGGTGAACCAAGACATTTTTAAATTTGTCTTTGTTCCCTTACAAAATGCTATACTTCAAAAGAATAGCCCAATATTATGGCACATATGATAAATTTCAACTCAATTCATAATCTGACAAGGTTAATATTTCCATTAATATTTCATCTTTTTGTTAATTTAGCTGTGTGTCTTGCCAAATTATCTGAAAGCAACATATAAACCTAAGCCCTTTATATACCAGATATAATCTAGCTACATTATCTGTCCACATACATTGGAGGCCTCCCTTAACGGGACTTTTGGAAAATCAATTTGCCATTAGACTGATTAATGCACACCATTACTTCTTTCTCTTGTTAGAAAAGGTGGTAAAACTACAGAGAATTTGGCTAATTCTGGCATGTTCAAAGGTTACCTGATAAACAGCTTGGCCTTGGTTTGAGGGTACCATTTCATCAAATCCCTTTATTAAACCTCTAATTATTATTCATTAGCAATACATTTTTCCTAGAATTTGTTCTTTTAAATTGTGCCTCATAAAAAGACTGCAGAGTTAGTACATTTCAATGTACTACTGATCAAAGTTGAGGACATGCTGAGCTTAGAAGCGTTTCTGATATAATAAAAGAGAGCGGATATTATAACTATATTTTTATGCTATTTTTGTGATTTTTTGGTTGATAGGAAAAATCTAATTTAAGCAAAGAAACTTCTATTTAAATTTTGAACTAAGATTTAGTAATGCATATTATATCCTATCCCTTCAGTAAACCATGCATGTAATAAATATTTAAATCTGCTTTACTTTACAAATGGCAGGACGACAGTAGCATGCTCCTTCCCTGAGAATTTAAACTTTTATCCTCCTTCAAAACGTCTATTTATTTCTTATTTTAAGTGCAATTCAATTACATCAGGATGCCAAACCAATGCAATGAACAGAAGGCATATTGTTATAAATATTCCTCCTCCCCAAAGACAGTAGCACCCAGATCCCTGAGCAGCCACTGGGTTACACGTGGTGCTAAGGAGACAGATGATGTCCTTCAATACCATCCTACAGTATGAAAGGACCAGGTGTCCACTGGAAATCAGCCCCAGAAAAACACTCCACTTAGAGAGTATCTGCCAGGGACATGGAGGTATGTCAACACTTCATGTCTTCCCCTGCAGCCAGCTTCATGTCTGCAGGTCTCAGGGAACAAGCATCTCCCACAGCAACAGCCTCCATTATCAGCATGTCCCCAAAGTTGAGTTCTAGTAACAACTGCTATTGTTGCTGTTGCCCATTATAACATTTGGTCGGTTTCTCTCAGGGCCCTCAGAAAGCTTCCTTTGCATCAATCAGGATGCACTGAATACTCATTATTGGAAAGGTCTTGCTTTATCTTTCTTTGACTTTTACAAAAAATTAAGTCATCATATTTAGGTACGATGAAGAGTAGCAGCATCTTGCAGTAGAAACAGCACTGAAATGGGAGAAGATGTGG